ACCTTTACACTGCACTTTAATGCTTGAAGCTGATGACAAGTGGTGCAATTTATTCCTCAAATTCGTCCAGCACTGTTTCCATCAGTAACTAATTGTTCCCCAAAGCAGCGCTGCACTCCTAGGGAAACTGGCGGGCTCAGTGTCTGACAGGCTGGGATTAGTCCAATGCTTAGATTGACAAATAGACAATGTAGTCCTTCTCAACTATCAAGATATCCAGGAACAGCATATTTAAAAGGTTCAATGGCAGAAATCATGAGCAATACTAGCTTTAAAACTCACACGTTCTTTGCTTCCTCTTTGAAGAATTAATGACTACTAACATTAAAGTAGATTTTAATAAAATAAAGTCAGATACTATAGATGTCTCTAGAGCCTTGCCAGTGCAGTTTGAGGACCAGCAGCAGGGGTATCACTTTGGTGTTTGTTAGAAATGCAGAATTCTGCCCTCCATCCCCATCCCCTACAACCTAGGAACCAGAATCTGTTTTTTCATAAGATCCCAGGTAATTCACATACCCATTAATGTTTATGAAGTAGTGGTCTAGAACAGAAATTTTTATATTGATAGCTATTATTTCTACACCTGTCTATCCTGAATTTGTATTCAGATGCTATTAGGTAATTGTATATTTTATAAGATGCTTGGATTTTAGTTACATTTGAAAATGCATTTCATTTGAGACACCTAGCAGGAGTAAATATAGCTATTAGCATCTTCTGAAAGCCTACCATGTGTTAAGCACTATTTTAAGTGTTCATATACTAACTTATTTAATTTTCACAACAACCCTGTGAGATAGGCGATATCTTTTCACATGAGGAAACTGAGGCACAGAGAGACAACAAAACAAAGTCATGGAGATAAGAAGCTGCCAAAAACAGGATTCAAAGGCAGGCAAGCTGGTTCCAGAGCCCATGTGCTAACTCCTATGTTCTGGTTCCTCTTAGTTACTATATTCCAGCACAAAGGTACTCAACAGGAGATGGTGTAGTGCAGGTATGACTAAAAGATCAGGTACTTCTCAAGGGAATGACAGCTAGTCACAGGACCTCTGGAAATATAGTTTAACACCACCATGTTCTTCTCTATGGATTCAGAATAGATGATCCCTAAGTCTAGTTCTAGACCCATAATTTTGGTGGTATATAAGAAATGCTCTTTCTGGAGTGCCTAACTAATTCCTATACTCCAATTGATCTTAGAACAGTGGTTTTTAACATGTGTTTCCTGGAACCCTGGGTCCTTCAAGAGCCTAAATAGTTCTCCGCCATCAGTCCCTCCCAGTATCTTTGATATTAATGAATTTATAAACTGGAGGTTAAAAGAGCAATTCAGTTCACAAAAGACTACCATTGTTTAAAAAAAAAGATTGAAAATCACTGATTTGAGGATTTGGCTAGCAATGATGCTAATCTTTTTTTTGTTGTTGTTAAATTTGGCATGTGGTACCATTTTCCCCTCATATCTTGTCCTCTCCTAAAAATATAATATAGTATATATTTTGTCACATGTATTTGTTCAAATTTACACTTAAAAATGTTTCCTAAAATCTGCTGAAAATAATTGATGCAATATTCTAAAATGTATATTTTTAGAATAGATTTCATATTCAAAATAGAATTCATATTTAGAATATTGGTACGTTATTTTAAAATTCATTTCTCATAGCAAAAGACTTGAATACATTTTTAAAAACCTAGTCAATTAAATTTGGTTGTGAAAAGCACTGGCTTATCAGATTCACAGGCAGGGAATATTTAATATCACAGGATCAGGTTAGGAACAGAATAAAATATAAATACATGCAGAGCCTTTCATAAAGGAGTTTTTCATAACTACAACCATAACCCAAACGTCAGGGATATTAAAGAATATGAAGAAAACACCTACGCACAAATAAGAGGACATGCAGAGCCTTTCATAAAGGAGTTTTTCATAACTACAACCATAACCCAAACGTCAGGGATGTAAAAGAATATGAAGAAAACACCTACGCACAAATAAGAGGAAGTGTCCAACAAAGGATATGATAAACAAATTCACTGACAAAGAAATACAAAACACCTCTAACATGGAAAAGATGCTCAAACTCCATAGAAATAAGGGAGATGCATATAAAATTCCCTCTCGCCCATCTGATAAAAGTTATTTTAAAGATAAAATATCCGAAGGTAAAAGGGAATGAAGAAATGGGCATTTTGAACACTGTCAATGTGAGTGTAAATTTTTATTTTCAGGGAGTAATATAGTAAATTTAAAGTATACACCCTTCTCGACCTCATATTTTTACTTGTAGGAATTTTCTTACTGAGGTACTCTTGTAGGTACGTACATTGAGGTTCATTGAAGTGTCATTTATAATAGTAAAATCAGGACTGGGTGGGATGGGGCAGGGGAGGTTGGGGGAGAGACAACCTGGATGCCCAGCACTACAGGTGGCTAAATAAACCATGGCACATCCATCAAACAGATTCTGTGCAGCCATGTAAAGGCTGCCATCTTTCACCCATTCCAAGATACCAAGCATTATAAAATGCATCCTGATATAACAGAGTTACAATGTGAAAAACATGGCTGGTGGCCACTGTTAGATGTCATCAATTGTCAGACAACCCCAATTTCAGAGATGCTGAAGTGCAAAGTGAAAACAGTGTGCCTTGAACTGACGATACAGACTTCAGTTTTAAATATTCTCTTAAATGTAAATAATATAACTAACTCATATAAACATATAATAATAGTTAATGTGTAGGAAAAAGACTAGGATGATAAAAACCCAACTGTCAGCTGTGAATGTCTTTAAGGAGCAAAATTCAACTGTGATGCAGTAAGTAGGTAGAAGGGGACACAATATCTGTGATTATCTTAATTCTTTAGAGAATGTATATATTGTGTTTGAAAAAAATAAGCAATAAAAAACACTGCATAAGCAAAAAAAGGTTGAGTGGTAGAGCCTTGGCAGAGGATGACTCGAGCCTGCTTACTGAGTTTTCACATTCCTCTCCCTGTCTCATCTGCCTCCAGGGCCTGAGACAACAGTCATGCTAATAATCATACCCTGGTCTACCCACATCCTCCCAGTCCTCAACAACCCAACCAGATAGAAGCAGATCCGTCTTACAGTGAGCTGCACAGGGCAAGGCCATTTTCCGCTGTCAGGCAGCTGCTGCGGGCAGGGCTGGATTCCAGACTCAGCCCGCCTGGCCCCAGAACCCACTTTCTTTCCAGTTCCGGGCTGCTATCACTGCCATCTACTGCTTTATGCATCTGCTCTTTAACCTTTGCTATTCATTTTCTTTTCATGGCATTTTAAATGATTTTCTTTCTCATGCTACATTGGTTTTAAGTTATTTCTAAGCCGGAAAGCTAATTCATTTAATAGCTTGAAAGAAACATTCTGAGTTAATAAAAAATTAATACACTTCCCCTTTTCAAGGAAGGTCCCCTCTTGACCATTCTAAGAATATATTTATTATAAGCTCCTTCACTTTATTTCCGCACATGATTTTTCTAGCACAAGTCAATTTTATAAAATGATATATCCAACACTTGCGAGTGCTGTCCTTTAATGAAAAGTAGCTACGACGTAAGAAGAGAAATAAGCCATCAGTGCACAACCCAATAGTCATCCAACAGCCCCACTGGGAAGGCTGGAGTCAGCACTGTCCAGTCTTCCTCCAACACTAGGAGAGGGGACCGGACCACAGGCTGAGCCTGCCTCATTTTTCCAGTTTGACCAAAGGTTTAACCCCAGATCTAAAACTTGAAAGGAAAGGAGATTTGTTACAATACTTTTCTACTTTTTCCCCCTTCCCTTTTTGTTCTATCCCCTTTCTTATCTCTCTCAGATAAAGGTTGACATAAAACGGTGGGAAATCCTATTATGGTAATTGAAAGGTGGAGCCTTGAAGAGGTGATTGGACTGTAGGGCCATGCCTTATGAATAGATTAAAAATGGTGGTCAGGGGCATGGTTCTGAGGGCTTTAAAAGGAGAGGAGAGTCTGTCTGTCTCTCTTTCTCTGCTCTTTCTGCTTCCACCATCTTGCAATGTGAGACCCCTGGGTCACTGTCGCCACCACCAAGATGGACTTTGGACTTCCCAGCCTCAGAAACTGTAAGCAATAAATTTCATTTTCATTATAAATTACCCAGTTCCAAGTATTTTGTTATAAGCAACAAATATGAACTAAAACACCCATCACATTCCAACCAAACCCCTCTCTCTGTAGCCCCTGTCATTACATAAAACGCCCCACTAGCTTGCCTGTCCTTCATAAGCCTGGGGGTCTTCTTATATTCTTCCAATCTTCGCCTTTTCACATTTACTCTTCTGTCAAATCTACCCATTCCTTTCTACGTAACAGGTTTTAGACTCATGCTTTCTCACCAATTTCACCCACCAAAGCCCTGGACTAGTGACACTTCATTCTAGACTCCTCAATTCTAACCTTTCTACTTTTCAACTGACTTCATCCAAAGCAGTCTCCAGAATGTGATGATTGATTGATTACACCAATTAGCAGTGGCATGTCACCTCACTGGGGATGAACAGGGATTCCTATCAATGGACCTCGGGGCTCTCCACCACCCTGTTGAACTCCACCCTCTGTTCTTCCCAGCCTTATCCACGCCCTCTACTCCAGCCAAGCATGCCTAATTACCCTTCCCTGAACTTCCATCTCCCTCAGCTGCCTCTGAAGGTTAAGTTCATGTGAATCCTGAGGCATGGAACGACTCTGCCATGTGCCCGGCCATCACGTATTCCCTTGTCTAGTTAATGAATATATTCGGATATTAAATCTCCTACATATCAATGATATGCATCTTATTATTTCTCTCAGTATCTCACTTTAATTATTATTCTTTTATTTAATTATTTTGAAATGCTCAAGGAATCAATTTTTCTATTTTCCAACAGCTTACATTTTAGTCAAAAGGAAAACTTTGTAGTATTTATTTGGACATAGGTTGGCATCTCACAGTGAAACAACATACCATTTGATTCAGCTGGTCGTATACATCTTTTTTCTGAAGCATCCAGGACCATTGGATGGGTACAGAAGCAGTTATAAGAACCTTCCGTATTAATACACTGGCCATCGATACAACTGTTTGGGTCTTGACATTCATCCATATCTTAAAAGGAAAAGGAATTACCAAAAAAAAAAAAATCAGCAATTGGTTGTGCCGCATACATTTACCAAACTTTACACATTGCTAAATTTAGTCCAGATTCCAGAGGCTGCCAAATTTTAATTAACTACACATCATCATTCAAAAGAGAACGGCTCTGACCATAAAAATATAAGTTGCACTGATTGGAAAAACAATGTTGCTGCTGCTGCTGTCCGCATTAAATACAGAAAGAAAACATCTATGAACAGGACATGCTTAGAAATTGAAGATAAAATGCCTCTGTATGATACTTTCAAAATTATTTCCCTTTACTATGTTTTTTCTGCCTCGTGTATATGGTTTTCTGCTTAAGCATTAAAGTCTGGGTCAGAATTCAAAATGACTTTCACTTGCATGGTATGAGTGATGAAACAGGAGGTTCCACAGACAAAAAGAACACTTCAGTTATACTAGTGACCTGAATTATAATTCCACATTGAATATTAACACTTTGTTTGAAATCTGTTCAAATAGTAGTATGGAGGTTTTTTATTTTCTTAAAACTTGCTCAAGAAAAAGATCCATAAAAACATTTACACATCTTTTCAACACATGATTCAGATTCAAAGAAATTATTTTTACTACATAGCATTACTTATTTTTTTCCATCTGTATATTTTCACAGCACACCATACTATATCCTCTTAAAGCTTACCAAAGCACTGCAATTTCACAGGATCATAGTATGTCCCTTGCTTACAGTAGCATTCATAACCAGGCTGAGTGTTCAAACAGAAACCATTTTTGCAGATTTCTTGTCCAAAAAGCAGGCATTCATCTGCATCTATAGGGAAAAAATTGAGAAATACAAAAAGGAGCTAGCTTTGATCTTTCAGTTAAAAAGAAGAGTCTCAGCAATATTGAGCTTCAAGGGGATATTATATTATTTATATTCCAAAGAATCTTACAGACAGAAATATAAAATTCTTAAAGTTAGGTCTAATTAACAGACATAGAAACACAATCAGGCATGGTTTGTCTGTGCACTATTTAAGGAGCAATAAACAAATATATCAGAGAAGATATATTTATAAATATGGTTTCTGAGATGCTACCTCAATTTTGATTAAATAGTCTATGGCAAATCCAAGCCTAGAAAAGATGGCTGGTTGGATCTGAATCCAATCTTCTTCCAACCACTGATAGCACTACAAAGATACAGTGAGAAGGAAGTTATTTTTATATAAAAAAAATGGATGGCTTTATAGTGAAGTCAGGGCATTGTTCCATAATACGAAGTGAGATTTAACTATGTCCCTTCCAACCACTGATAGCACTACAAAGATACAGTGAGAAGGAAGTTATTTTTATATAAAAAAATGGATGGCTTTATAGTGAAGTCAGGGCATTGTTCCATAATACGAAGTGAGATTTAACTACGTCCGTGCAAAAATATAGTACGTGATATTTGTGAACTTGGAAACTATTCAACACATTTTACAAACCAAATCTTCTTGCTATTTAATCAGACTAAATCATATAAGTATTTGAAAAACACAAATGAAATTTCCTATCCAAGTACTAAATTATACCACATTATTCGAACACTAGTTTTCCAAAAATGAATGGACAATAAAAATGTTTTTATAGTCTTTTTTCCAGCCACTTAGTAGTTTTCAATATTAAACTATAAAGGAAAAAATAACAATAGTTTGTACATAAAAGGTGATAATATCTCCATCATGGAAATGTCAAAAGTGAGTGGTTAAAGAAGAAATATTCATACATGTGAACATTCACCAAAATTAAGAGGATGCACATTTATTTTAGAATTATATAATAGCAGCATTAAATACATAAAGCACAGCTACTTTTATTTTCTTTTCCATTCCTCATCATGAATATGTGGCCATGAATAAAAGGTCCTAGCAACAGTAGGATAAGTTCTAAAACAGCAAGAACCTTAGCTTTGTTGATGACCATAAAGACAAACAGAATGATGGTCAAATTTATATGGTCATAATTTATATGATTTCTAATAAACCTCTAGAATAAAAGAATAAATTTATTAAGTACCCACTAAGTACAGAATTTTGCATAAAGTACTTTCACAAATATTGTCTCATTTAAATCCCCATTATAACCTTTGTGACATTATTCCTATCTCAGAGATGAAGGGACAGAAGCTCAGAAGGTCAAGCAACCTCCCAACATCGCGCAACCTTAAGTTTCTGACTCTCAACCCCCCCACTCCACCCAGAATCCACAGGAACCTTCTTCCAAAGGTAGAATTAAGGACTTTGTAATCAGTTTCCACAGCTCAAAGGAGCTCTAATTCTGTGTAACCCAAGCCATGCTTTCACTTGAATGGCAGACATG